CTTAGTGTCTCTCTGCCTGCTGCCCTGCGTTTACCGCTTTCGATTCCAGAAGGAATTAGAGTTTTACCAATACCCGCGACACCAGTTAATAGAGAATTGTATATGAAATGTAAAAATAAACAGGTTTCCTCTAGAATAAGTGCGTGGGTATGCATACATACATAATTCCGTACAACACACCTGCCAAGCGCGGCAAGAATTGCCAATATTTTCCCTATGATGCTACTGCGTGTGAAAAGTTTGCAAGGTATAACAGTAACATATGTAATGGATTACTGCCATTCTATAGTCTAGTCTAAATATTAACTTTAATTTAGTGTTTATTTAATTCATTCCAAAAACGAGAGAAAGCAAACTTGTTACACGGAATGTGTCCGGAACGAAGTCGCATTGCTAATACAATATATTTTCTATTCAACAGACATTGATTAAACCAAGGCACTTTCGGAGGCTGACTCTGGATGGTTTTGTACCAAATCCCTTTTTCTTGCGATCTTTTATCAAAATATTCTTTCCAAATTATATAACATTTCTCTTTATATTTAATTAAAATTTCTGAATAATCAGGATAAATATTACATTCTCTTCCTTGGGTGATTGCCAATTTCGCCAGCTTATCAGCCTCCTCATTGCCCTGTAAACGACCATGTGAGACGGTACCCACTGCAATACTAACTCACGGTTTTTACATTGAAGTTTCAATATTTCATTTAATATCGAATATGCTATCGATACACCTCTGAGACCAGAGATGCATCGAGCAATATGTTCAAGAGCACTCTTGTTATCAGTTAGAAAGACTGCTTTTTGAAAATTTGTTGTACCAGCATGTAATAGGGCATCGTTTATAGCAATTAATTCAGCTGACATTATCGTAATATTATTAAGAATTTTAATTTTACTTTTATTACCCAGCAATGAGTCAAAATAAGTGGCACCTACACTATATCCGAAATAAATAACATTTAATTCATTTATTACATTCGACTTTTAAAGTATTTATCTCCTGACATCTTTTAGCACCCTTGATACAATTTAAGTCCTGTTTAATTACGTTTTTAACATTGATACTTGATACCCAAGTATTTAAAGAGAACATATCTAGTGGATCCGAAGAATACACATTATTATTATTAACTTGTTCTAATGTAACTGCTAGAAGTGGTTATTTTGCCAGTACCTGTCTTGACAGAATAAGCTAAGTTCTGTTAATAGTTTATTAGTAGTATTATTAGTTATATTATATTATATTATATTATGACACCTTCACGACTTACGTCGGTTTTAATAAATACCCCGTCCTGCATCCCACAGATAAAAGTATATCCCAATTAATGTGTTTTAAATTAATATGATGTTGTAGTTTTGTATAGTACTTTTTTCCAATATTGAGATGTAATTTAATGAAAATTATTACGCAAATTAAAAGAGTCATTCAAGATGTAATGTACTGTATTTTCTGTATTTTGTTCGTCTTTTCTCATTCTTTTCCTCCCTCGTCCTCGTTTTTGTCGATAATTTAGTGACTGTTGTACATTCGGATTATAATTTGTGTTAGATGAGTTCGGTGCATTTAATGATTGTTGTATGTCTGTTATGCCTAATGATTGTTGCATGGTTTGCATGTGTTGTTCTTGGATGTTTAGTGAACGTTGTATATTCGATGTGTTTGTGGTGTTTATTATATCCGTTGTGCTTGGTGACTGCTGCGTGTTTGATGACTGTTGGGCGATCTGTATATGTAGATGGTCCGGTTAATTATGTACAAATACGGTATCCCCTAGCACTTTAGTGAGTATAGTTGATGTGCGAATAGCTGGTTGTTTTTGAAGGATACTAATGTTAATATGGCTATCTAATTTATCTATGTATTTCCTAATACTTTTAGCTACCACTCACGTTGCTCCTATTACTATGGGAATGACAGTTGCTTGTGTATTCCACAAACGACTGACTTCAGTTTTTAGCGGGTGGTATTTGCTTAATTTTTCAATTTACTTAGGTCCTATATTGTAGTCTGATGGTACAGTTATATCTATTAGGAATGTTTTATTACTTGTTTTATCAACATATATCAAATCAGGCCTATTATGTGTTACAGTAATATCAGTTTGGACGGTCATTTCCCACATGATTTTAGCAAACTCATTTTTCTTAATTTGTGGTCGGATGAGGGTTTCTTGCCACCAGAGGTTAGAAACTTCTATTTTGTTCTTTTTAGCCAGACACCAATAGACGTAATGGACAAGGTTATCATGTCGCTTTACGTAATATGTCCCTACTAGTTTGTCACATCCGGAAATTATGTGTTGTGTGGTTTCATCTTTACTGGAACACAGACGACATTTTCCATCTACTGGCTCATTTAATATGTCGCGTTGATGTTGCCGCGTATTAATGGCCTGGTCTTGTATTGCAAATATTGATGACTCTGTACTTGGAGATACCTGTTGCCTTTTAAGCCATTGATATGAAAGTTCTATGTCTATATTGGCCTGATCTAAAACTTTTTTAGGAAATTGTCCATGTAAAGGCTTTGTTCGCCACAGTGCATTGTGTCTTTTAACTATTGCCATCTTAATCTCTTTATCTTTATATGTATTTTCTTGTGTTAAGTATAATTCTCTTTCTATCTCTTGTGCTTCTTTTATTATTGAATATTTATCTCTATATGTGTCGTGTTGCATTATCATTTTAATGAGATAATCGCTTTCTGTTTTCAGATATTGTTTATATTTTACTATCTGTGCTTTATACATGTACTCTATATTTATCAGACCTCTTCCTCCTTGTGTTACAGGCAAGTATAGCCTTTCTATTTCTGCTTTTTGCTGATGTGCCTTTTTAATTGCTAGTAATATCCTGTTTTTATATCTATTTTCTTAAGATTGTTATTTTTATAATTTATTATGCCAAATGAGTAAAGTAAAACCGGGACTGCGTATGTATTAATACCTTTTATCAAATATCGTGAGTTAAGTTTCAGTAGTTTCTTGATTCTTTTAAAATATTCTTTAGCTATTTGATCTCTTATGATGCTGTATTCTATCTTTCCTGATTCATGTATTCCTACATATTTATATTTATCTCCTATTGCAAGTTGCTCAAAAGCTTCCCCGCTTAAAAGAATATGACCTTCTCCTATTGCATTGCTTCTATACCCAGAACTCAGTTGTATTGTTTTGCATTTGTCTAGTCCAAATCGCATTCCTATGTCGCTTGTAAATACTTCCACACTATCCATTAGTACTTTCAAATTACTCTTATTGTTTGCATAAACTTTAAGGTCATCCATGTATAGTAGGTGATTGACCCAGAAACTGTCTTTGAGTTTATATCCTTTCAGTTTGTATTTATTAAGTATACAGCAAAGTGGGTTAATTGCTAAGCAGAATAACAATGGTGAGAGGGAGTCACCCTGGAAAATTCCACGCCTAACATAAATCGGTTCCGTGGTAACCGAATCATGTGATCCACGGGCTGTCATGATCACCCTCCATAGTGGCATAGCCAAATGAAGGAATCTTTTAATCATTAGTGGACATTTATAGACATCAAGCACTTTAAGAAGCCATTCGTGAGATACACTGTCGAAGGCTTTTTGATAGTCAATCCATGCCATACTCAGGTTTTTTTGAGCTTGATGTGCATCGTCCAATGTGGCCTTATTAGCCATTAGATGGTCTTTACATCCCCTGGCAGCACGGCGACATCCCCTTTGCTCTACGGCCATTATGTTATTCTTATCGCAATGGCTATACAATACGTTGGCCAATAAGAAGTAGTAATTTGTACATACTAGGTAAACATGCTATTGGTCTCCAGTTCTTTGGGTTTTCGGTGTTTTCATTTTTGGGTATTAATGTAACTTATCCCGTAACGAACCATTCTTCCATTATTTCTGTACCTGAAACTATCTTAGTGAATAATGGAGCTATGTATTTATGAACATTGGTTAGGTATTTTAAATAATAACTTTGTATTTTATCCATTCCAGGTGATTTCCAATTTAACAGTTTTATGATAGCAAATTTTACTTAGTCTTCTGTTATCTCTTGTGTATCTTCTCTGTGTATTTCACTTGACAGCATTTCTACTTCTTTTATCCAATTAGCATTTAAATTGTGGTTTGATATTGCATTTGGTTTGATAAAATTGAGTTCCAAAATACTTCCACTTCTTCTTTACTCGGTACTTTGATGTCTTTGTTGTTACTATACTCTAAACTTCTGTAGAATCTATGCTCGTTTTCATTAAATAATCTATTCTGAGCTTTTCTAGTGTTAATGTCTTCGTATATCTTTATTCTACCTGCTAAAGCTTTAACTTTTTGCCTAATAGTTTCTGTTATATTATTGTGATCATTTTCATTCCGAATGCTGTATTTGGTATATATTTTTTTTTCATCATCCTGCGCGTTTTGATTCCCTTTTCAATTTTTATTAATTGTCCTAGTTCCTTCCTCAATATATCTATTTTAGTTTGTATTCTTTTTTTCCATGGTGGATCACATTTTGTTTTATAATATTATTAGTGATATAAGGTTTTTGATTGTTGTTTAATATAAGAATTATAGCCGCGGCGTATATTATATTATTTATCTCGCGCAAACTGTTATTAGTAATTAAAAGATTAGGTAAATAATTATTTAATGTGTGTAGGTTTTCTAAGAAACGCCTATTGATTTTAGTTTTAGGTAGAAATACTCGATCTTCAAGTCTGGTTTCATTACTTTCCGCTAATATTTGAAGAAAGTGCAAGATTAATGGATCTTGATCATCATTTACCACTATATTACTTGTCATCTGATCTATTGTTTCAGCTTGTTCAATGGTATGTTGTAAATTTTGTTCCGTAATGTATGTGAGTGTAGGTTGTGTATCTTGTACTCCAATGTCGTTTGAATTTGAGTTATCTATGGGTGTGATACCTTCTGCTTCTTTTCGTATTCTGTTTAGTAATTCTTGTGATAGTACATTTTGCTTAATGATCCTTCGTGCTTAATTTGATAAAGTGTTTCCGTTAAACTTATGAATTTTAGGGTTATTCGGGTTTCTTTCTGTGAAAAGTTTCTGTAACCTGTCTATGTATCCTGGTCCAATCGATCTCGCTTTAAAGTAACAAAACATTAAATCTTGAAGTTCTTCTGTTGACCACTTTCTTCTTCTATCATCATGTTCTGTATTATTTGTGGTCATTGAAGATGAGCCGGCAGAGCTTGTAGGTAAGTCCGTACTCTGCAAAGCATCACCCATACCCATCCCTTCCCGTTGATCGGCTGTAATATTTTCGGGTTCCCCGACTCTTGCCCACCTGCTCAGCAGAGAGTCGCTGACGGCCCGTACGCTATCACGTCCAGCGTCAGCTCCAGATGTGCCCCGACGCTCACCCTCGGGTAGCGGCCCTATAATAGTACTACGTAATTGTCTTTCCATCATTGAAGGTATCTAGAGCTCCGTTGGTCATTGGTTAAGTTAATTAAAAATCCAATGTCCGGCCCTCACGTGGCATAGATGGTCATGCGCGTACGTGGAGTTAGATTTGCGAGGGCCAGATAATATTATATTATATTATATTATATTATATTATATTATATTATATTATATTATATTATATTATATTATATTATATTATAATATAATATAAATATATAAACACTCACGCCTGTCACCCAGAGGGGTAGGCAGAGACTACAGACTTCCATTTGGCACGATCCTGACACACCTCTCTCGCCTCCTTCACATCCATACACCTCCGCATACATGCTCGTCGGTTAAGGGTACTCCTAATTTGGCCCGTTTTCAATAAATCGCCAATTTGGTCTATAAATTTTCGCCTAGGACGTCCCTTTCCGACTCTGCCATTCACTTCTGCAACATAAATTTTCTTTGTCACTCTTTCCTCATTCATTCTTTCCACATGACCAAACCACCGAAGCATTCCTTTCTTAATCCTGGTCACAACATCATCTTGCAAACCACACTCTTCTCTTATTACACAATTTCTTACCCTGTCATTAAGATTCAGCCCTAACATACTCCTTAACGACCGCATTTCTACTGCGTTCATTCTACTCTCGTGCTTCTTCTGCCACACCCAACTTTCACTACCATATGTTAAAGTAGGGACCAACACAGCATTGTGAATTGCCATACGTGCCTTTTTCGACACATTTTGACTCTTCACAATAGAGTGCAGGGCCCCATTTACTCTATTTCCCGCATTCACTCGTCGTTCTATATCCTTATCATATCTCCCATCCCTGCTAAATACGCAGCCCAAATATACAAACTCGTCTACTTGCTCGATCAACTCCCCTTCTATTCTTATTTCACAAATCGTTTTACTTTCTTCTCTTTCAAAAACCATAACCTTCGTCTTACTTGCGTTCACTTTCATACCCCTTTCTTTTAATGATCTGCTCATTAATGTAACCATCATTTGCAACTCGGCCGCCGACGACGCAAGTATAACTTGATCATCGGCGTACAAAAGGCATTTGACGGTTAACTCACCCATTCTTAATCCGCATTCTTCAACTTTCAAATTTTGCAAACAACTGTCCATAAATAGGTTGAACAGCCACGGGGAAGCTACACAGCCTTGTCTGACACCTTTATGGATGTCAAACCAGTCCGAGTAGACCCCGTTGATCCTAACACAAGCACTAGAGTCCCTATAAAGGGACTCCAATGCCCGTATCAAGCCAGCGCTCAACCCAAATGAGTTCAGTGTTTGCCATAGCACATCCCTATTCACTCTGTCATAGGCCTTTTCCAAGTCCATGAACGCACAAAAAACCTTTTGGTTTTTGGCCAAAAACTTCTCCGCGATCATGCGCATGGAAAAGACTTTATCTGTACATCCCATTCCCTTTCTAAATCCTGCTTGCACATCCCAAATTTTTCCATCAGTTTCTTTCATGACCCTTTCAATCAGTACCTTAGCATACAGTTTTCCCACAATGCTAAGAAGGCTGATGCCACGGTAGTTTTTACAGTCCTGCTGCGACCCTTTTCCCTTATATACTGGGACTATCACGGCTTTGCACCAGTCTACCGGTACCCGCTTCAGTTCCCAGCATAAATTAAACAAGGTGTGCAGCAGGCCTGCCACCACTTCCTCTCCAGCCCTTAGCATTTCGAGTGAAACTCTATCATATCCGGCAGCCTTACCTGCTTTCATGCTTTTCATTGCTTTCATTATTTCACCTACACTAATCTCGCTACCTCTTTCCTCTTCCTTCGGAATTTCTACTTCACTTAGTACACACGTTGTCTCCTCACTCATAAACACGCTTTCAAAATATTCCTTCCATCTCTTTAAACTCAAAACTTCATCATTCAGAATATAGCCATTCTCGTCTCTTATAGCATTCATCATAGGCTGTTTTGAATGTCCCCTGGCAGTTCTTACAAGTTTCCAGAACATTTTAATATTTGCCTGGAAATTATCCGATATTCTTCTATCATTCTTATCCGTTCTTTCTTGCTTTTTTCTTTCAACTACTTCTTTTACTCTCTTATTAAGATGTCTAAAGACTGCCTTTTTTCTTTCAATATCATCATTCGTACCGCTAGAATTACCAGCCTTTGTTGCTAGTAAATCTAGCCATGCTCTCTTCTTTGCTTCAACTTCCATACGTACCTCATCATCCCACCATAACGTATTATTTTTCCTTTCATTCTTTCTCTTACTAACACCACATACTTCGGTAGCTGCATCCACTAAACCTTTCTTTACATTTTGCCATACATTCTCCAAGTCTAACTCCTTCATACATAATTTATCCAAACCACTTATATTTTCTTTCAGTCTACATTTGAACTTCTTTTTCTCACCTTCATCTTGTAACCTTTCTGTTCTAATACGCTGTAACGCAGTGGTAGACACAGATGACCGATGGCGCCAACGCCTGAATAGACCATTAATTCGGCATAGAACCAAATAATGATCCGTTCCTACGTTAGAACCCCGGTAAACCCTTGTATCTACAACTGCGCCCCTCAATCTTTCATCCACAATTATTAAATCTATCATGCTTCTATCGTCACCTCTTTCCCAAGTATACATGTGAATCCTCTTGTGGCGAAAGCAAGTGTTCGTCACAAAAAGATTCTTTTCCATACATACGGTGAGGAGACTTTCACCATTCTCATTTATACTTTCATCACCAAACGTTCCCAATATCCTTTCATAACTAAGCCTCCTCACCCCAACCCTTCCATTAAAATCTCCTAGCATAATAATATTTTCATTTCCCTTACACTCCATTAACACCATCCTTACCATTTCCCAAAACTGCTCTCGGATATAAGTGGGCTTAGACATGTCTGGGGCGTAGACCCCTAACACAAACAACTTCTTTAAGCCCACTTTCATTCGTATCCACAGCAGTCTTGGGCTTACACATTCATACTCTTTCACACATTGGCCCATTCTTTCTGAAAGGATGATACCTACTCCCTGGCATGCCCGCTCGATCTCGTCTACACCAGACCAGTATGCGGTATACATGCCATGTGTAGTGACATCCTTTCCCTTCCTTTTCGTCTCATTTACACATAACACATCTATTCCTCTATCATTCATCATATCGCATACTTCATCCATTTTATCATTCATTGCCCCACATACATTCAACGTAGCCAGACGGACCTCTGCAATCCACTTTTCGCCTCTCCGGGAGACAGAACGTGACGGGTGGCGAACCTCGTCGCCGGTTTTCCTCCCGGAGATTCTTCGCACCCCTGCCCCATTAAAGGGGCGCCGGGAACTCGGGGCCATTTCTATTATATTGTTCCTCATGGTGCGGATAAAGGGTGGTATATTTTACGCCTCTACCAGGGCGTGGAGCCGAGTCTGTGCTATCGGCTTGTCGCTCATTTAGCACCACCCGGGGGACACGTGTAGGGTGGGCCTAGGAATAGGTGGTCAGAGCCTACGGACGCGAGCGACTTATCCCCTATTTATATTATATTTATATTACATTATATTATATTATATTATATTATATTATATTATATAGTGAATTATTAATTTAGTCCAAAAACAAATATTTCCTGTTCCTGTCCGTGTGTTTGCTGACTAAAGGCATCCATAACGTCATATAATCCATAGGTATCGTAAAAGGTGACTTAGAGAAATATCTGGTTGACCTTGTGAGCTCCGATGGAAAACTACAACTTTCTCTTTATATTTTTTAAATACGGCCTAGCAGTGGACTTTTATACGCTGTAATGGATAGATGGATGGACTATTATTATTACTGACACCCTATTATTATTATTATGTTTGTAGTAGGAGTGTTTCACGACAGTAGTCGAATGGCGGATTCAAATCCACAACTTTGCATATTTGTTTTCTCTAAGCATTAGGCTAATTTTTGCTTGCTTCAATACGCTTGAATATGATCCTATTTATCTATTACATCTTATAAAATCCCACTGCTGAACATAGGCCATAGATTTTTGCATAGGGTGGATTTCGAATAAATAAAAAGCTTGGCAGGGGGATTGGCAACGGCATCTTTTTATTGATTTAAGTTATTATCAGGAAAATGCTGCCGGCCGTCTTCTGTTTCACTTTTCGTCTGTCGCCACGTACGATATTCGGACGGTGCGATTCCATATAACATTTTATTTTGTTATTTTTTGTTTCCTTTTTGTTATATTTACTTTGAGTTTACAGTAAAAATAGTCCACACAGAGTTCCTTAACCGACGAGCATATATGTGTAGGTATATAGATATGAAAGAAGCGAGAAAGGTTTGTCTAGATCGTGCCAAACGGATGCCTCTCGCGTCCGGCCCTGGTCGAAGCCATGGTCCGGAGCGAGACGGAATGGGATGCCGTCACCACCTTCTGCGAAGCAGTGATGCTAGCGAAGGAGATGGCGGAGCGGGAGAAAGAGAGAGCAGCAGCTTTCCTCCCCGGCCGCCGCGGGAGACGCCCCGGGCGTTGGGGGCTACGTCGTGGCCCCCGGCCACCGTAGGCGCGGGCCTGTGGACGGCGAGCAATGGGTAGCTCGCCGTCCGTCCGTCTAACGACGACAGGCCGTGTCGACGGCGCGTTTTGTTCCACGCGCGCCTCAAAGAGCTGTCAGCAGTGTGAAGGGGCCCGCAAGGGCCGACGCCTGCCGGGGCTGCGGGCTGTTCGAAAGAGATACCGCGGCTCCGGAACGTAAGGGCACTGAAGGAACACGGATGGTTTTTAGTCAGTAAAAGTCTGACACTCCCTTACGCTCCACCCAGAGCGAAAGGCGTCATTAGATGATTTTCCATCCGCAAAAAAAAAAAAGGCTCTGCTTATACCTCTGCGTAACAGGCGTGAGAGTTTATCTATGTTATGTGTGTAGTGCCGTTGTAAGAACTTAGAATATATCCTCTATCCTCCCGGGAGTTTAGTGAGAAGCGACAGAGGGAAACAAACCAGGCGAT